ACTACTCAGTAATGGCACGTCAATCAATTTGTCAAACCAGGTAGCGTTTGCATCCTCTGATTGTTACTGTTCATGGATTGTGCTACTAGAATGCTTCGCAGTTTTATTTACATGCAGATTTATAACTGTCTTTCATGATTTAAATGTATTAATTAGTATTTTCAGCTTTTAAGGGCTTTTTATTTCTTTGAAAATATTTCTAGTGAAAACATTCTTGATGTCAGTAATTAGATCACTGAAGATGGTTATTTTTTTTAGTTATTGTGAATGTTTGCTTTCTCTTGCATTTTAAATAAGTTTTAGTTTTCAAGTTTTTACAGTTAGGGCAATGCTAAGTAAAATTCAGAAAGTGCAACTGCTGAAGAAACATACCAAATTAAGTCATGCAATGTACTGAGCAAGGTACATACACAGCTTATGTATTCTTTGTATTGTCCTGTCACCTGGGAGATATGGCTTGGGCAGGGCACTGTACAATTAAGCTAAAATATAAGAAATTGCTTATTGCCTTGTCCTACTACTGGCCAAAAAAAACCCCAAACACTTGCTACTTTTACAGGCTGTTTGATACTTCAGACTACTCTCTAAAGCAAACAAACTATAAAACCGTAAAAATTGGCATTTTGTACAACAAGATGGGATAGTAAAGAATTCATTTACCTCCCACTGCTCAATGAGTTGCCTTCACATCTTTCTAGGAGAGCCCTTCAGCTTTCTTTCATAGTTGTGCCTAGTTTTTATTTGAAAATCTTTCCTTTTGCAAGAAATTAAAATAGTGCGAAAACTGGAAGTTGCAAAAACTATTGCAGTAGATGTAGTATCTCAAGAGTAATGCTTTACTTGTGCCATTTTAAGTTTAAGCTGAAGGCACACATACTTACCTCTGTTTATGTTTCTGTAAAATATGGGCTCATTTTATTCCTTGCCTGGAGCTTCAAGTCAGCAGTTGTCTTGGCGGAAACCTTTTCCTGTTTTGAGTTTGCTGTAAAAGTTTGTGGTTGTTAGATTGCAAAATATGTGAACTAAGAAAAGGAATGTTGTGTAAGATCAGGCTAATCAGATCTCACACTGCACGGGGCTGACCAGTTGATGTGTCCTGGGACTTGGGACACAGCGTTCTCATCCACACATGAAAAACCCTGTTCTAATGTACAGATTTGCTCACATGGTTGGATACTGTGCAGGGCTGGTATTGCTGTGCAGCAACAGTGTTTGTCCACTGCTGGAGGTAAAAATGGATAGGTTCTTTGGATTAATGGCCTCTTAAAATTTGTTGGTTTTACTGCTCTTGCACTAAAGGAGGCCATAAAGGAAAAGAAAGGGCCAGATGCATTTAGGAGTAAGAGTCTCATCTGTGAAATGTGCATATCTTTCTAAAGATGCATTTATGGTGATATTTTTCTCTCCCCTTTCCTACACCCACTTGCAGACCACTTCCAATGGATTGGGTTCAATAGATGACATTGAAACAGGTAAAGACATCTCTCTTCTCTGATTTTTATGGCTTCGGTAAGGTATCTGACCAGGCTGGCAGGCCTGAGAAATTCCTTGTCTTCATTTGTGTCTTTTCTGTACGCTCCTGGGTTTGGTAACTAGGAGGAGGAAGAGGTGGTGGAAAGCGGGAGTGTTTTTCCTGTAGAAAACCTTTTTGTCCAGGCCCAGTGAGAGACGCGTCTAGGAATGAAAAGGGTCTGCTGAGGTACACAGCTCTCTCCAGTTGTGCTTTCTTAAAGCTGGGCTTGGCAAAGCTTCTGAAACTCTGCTCCCAGTCAAAACAGTCCAGATAAAGTGAAGTTAAGGTTGTAGGCAGCTGTTTGTGCTCTGAGCTCCTCTGGTCCTCCAAGACATTGAGGTGGAGGAAATTAAAACAAAGGGACTTGGGAGGGACCCAGGGAGAGCAGTGTTCAGGATTAGGCACCCAGGAGGAGCAGAAGGAGGGCTTCAAGGTTGCTTTTCTCATGCCGGGAAACAAGTGACCTTAACTCTGCCCCTGTAGAAAGGCGTGCTACATGCGTTGCCCTTTGTTGTGTGCCAGAGCATTGAACTTGTGCCTCTGAGCAGATCAGTCTTTGTTCCTTTGAAAGGTAGCTCTGTGTGTGAAGGTAATTGTGAAGACTTACCCCTGGAAGTAGCAATTGCTCTTTATATAGAAAGAAACTAGTTTCATTATTAGAGTGCTTTGGAAAACATGTTAGTTCTCTGTTGAATGCCAGTTCAGTAAAATAACTGAATGCTATGTGCAATCATGAGACCCAGTTCTGAGAATTAAGGAGAGCTTTTCACATTATCTTGCTGTGCTAAAATGGACTGGACTCCTACTGCAGAGTAAAGAGTGACTGCATCCAGTAAGCTCTTGATCTAATCAGGATTTGGTGTAAGAGCAGCATGCCACCTTTGCTGCAGTTCAGGCAGAGAGAACCTTTACCTCTAGGAGATCTTTTCAAAGCATTGAAATTATATGTTGTCCTATTGGCCTGAGAGTGGTGTGCTGCCAAGAGGGCTGTGGGTGCTGGGTACCTCAGGAGTTTCAGATTCAAAGCTTTTTTAGCAAGGGTTTTTGCTGATGTTGTTTTGGTTTGCTTTTAAGATGCAAACTACTAAAGCCCCTTCCCCCATTCTTTGCCTGAAGTCACCCGATTAACTCAGCCCTGCCCCGATTAACTCAGCCCTGCCCTGCACAGATCATGGCTCAGATCTTGCTCAGCGTGGCCTTTGACCAGCTAATGCACTAGGGAAACACTGCTGTTTTGGGAAGCAGAGCTAGAAACAGGGCTTTTAAAAGCACTGTACCTGCCCCTCTGGGACAGACAGGTGTATGGCCAGAGAAGCTACCGGGTGGGGGGCATGGTATGAGAGACTTGGTTTGGGGGAGCGGATGGACAAGACCCTCATTGAGCTTATAATACATGGGGTTTAGTGTCATGGCAGTGGCAGCAATCAGAGGGAGGCAGATGTGTGCCTGTCATGTGCTCATCAAAGAAGGCTGTTTTATTTTTTTAAGGTGGAGCAAACATGAGGTGAATGCAGGAGGTGCATGAGCTTTCTGGAAGGAGATGACGTGGGTATGGTGGGTGGTGAGTGAGGTCAGCAGATGGGGTGTCCTGAGGAAAGCA